TGCCTTCAGATGTCTTCTGAATGTCAGGTAGATGTTTATCGCTTTGACATCGGAAGGGAGGGTGTTCCACAGGGCAGGCGCCACTACCGAGAAGGCCCTCTGCCTGGTTCCCTGTAACTTGGCCTCTCGCAGTGAGGGAACCGCCAGAAGGCCCTCGGAGCTGGACCTCAGTGTCCGGGCAGAACGATGGGGGAGGAGACGCTCCTTCAGATATACTGGACCAAGGCCGTTTAGGGCTTTAAAGGTCAGCACCAACACTTTGAATTGTGCTCGGAAACGTACTGGGACCCAATGTAGGTCTTTCAAGACCGGTGTTATATGGTCTTGGCAGCCACTCCCAGTCACTAGTCTAGCTGCCGCATTCTGGATTAGTTGTAGTTTCCGGGTCACCTTCAAAGGTAGCCCCACGTAGAGCGCATTGCAGTAGTCCAAGCAACATAATTTGCTTGCAACTTACAAAATGTGTGTTCTTTCCATGGTTTGGACTTGCCACTGGGGGGGACGATGACAAAAGGGCTCTTTTGCCTTTTAACAGTGGTGTGGCAGGCAGAAATTCAAAGGGCCAAGCCTTTCCCAGGACAGAAAATGCAACCATGGCCCAAAATTCCCCAAGTGGTTTACAAAAATCAATCCCTCTTCCCGAGCTCTTTGAAAATGGTTCCCCTAACGACTCTCAGCAACCGTAACGAATTGCAGTTCCTAGGATGCTTTGGGGACAGCCATGGCTGTTTAAAGTAGCACAACAGTCCTTTTACATGTATCGCGCAGGCAGGGCCAGATTCTCCCATCTATACACAGCAAAGAGCAGGCATAGGCAAACTCGGCCCGCCAGATGTTTTGGGACTACAAATCCCATCATCCTTGACCACTGGTCCTGTTAGCTAGGGGTGATGGGAGTTGTAGTCCCAGAACATCTGGAGGGCCAAGTTTGCCTATGCCCGGCAAAGAGTATTGAATTTTCATTCAGCAATCCCTGGGAATGTGGGCAAACGTCTTGGATTGATCCCTATCTATTATTTTCCTGCCTTTTGCACTCTCAGGATGTATCCAGATATGGGGAATATTGCAATCATTTTCTGGATTACAGTGGTACTTCGGGTTACATACGCTTCAGGTTACAGACTCCGCTAACCCAGAAATATTACCTCGGGTTAAGAACTTTACTTCAGGATGAGAACAGAAATTGTGCTCTGGCGGCGCGGCAGCAGCAGGAGGCCCCATTAGCTAAAGTGGTGCTTCAGGTTAAGAACAGTTTCAGGTTAAGAACAGACCTCCGGAACGAATTAAGTACTTAACCCGAGGTACCGCTGTATAATGTTACTGCTTCTGTCTCGTTTCCTAACATTCCTTTCACACTGCAGAGCCTGTTGCATTATGGAACTGTGGCTTTTTGACCGATATACCAGCATGATGCGCTAAATTTCATTCACATCAGTGGCCGCGTTGTGACACAACAACAGAAATCATTGGACAATGTTGCTACTTCCTTTCGGCCCCCGCTGCCTTTCCACACATGCAGGTTCCTATTCCTCCAAGATAACAGCAGGAAAGAACTGTATGCCCAAATCTTGTCACTTTACTCCCACAATTTTTTGGCTTGAGGGGGGCTGCAAATTGCTCCCTGCCCCCTGGAATCAAATAACTCAGAAGCGAGCAGAAAGCATGCACTATATTCCCTTGTTTTTCGGGAAGTGGCTTTTGTCCCAAGTGTGAAAGCTCAGATATAAAATGGAGATGGACAGTTAGAGAAACATCGAGGAAATGGAATAAATGTTTGTGTGAATACAGGCTCTGCTTGACCGTTGCTGCCACATCTGCAGTCTCCGTCTCTTTTTGTGAGCAGGGAGAAGAGGAAAGGTCGGGTCTCTTCTGACACTTTGCTGGGTCTCTCTTATCTCTATTTGTCTGGCCAAGCCCTTTGGATTGGAATGAGAGACCTCTGAGTCTAAAACTTTGAACTCTTAACTCTTAAGTTAACAATCAAAGCAAAGTTACTGGCAGACAAGGTTAACTGAGCTGGCCAGACATTACTATTTTCTAAAAATTTATAACCCTTCTAAGAGGCCATAGTAAGGAGGAGGAGGCAGGCTGCAAATTATAAATACTTTAAAAAAGAAAGCACCAGCGAAATAGAACAATTAAAACTACAGCTGAGATAAAGTGGGGTGAGGTGTTGAAAAAATACCACCCTGTAGAGGGCCTTCTGCAATTGCTTCTGAATGCTTTCACCTGTCTGGGAGAAACGGGCTTCATCCTGAATAACTTAACCATTGCTACCTGGGATGTTGGCCCATTGCCAAATCTGATTGGCTGCATCGTGTCATGATGTCATCCCAGCTGCTATGTGTTTCCAAGGTATTTGGGACAGTCCACCTTGGGATAGCCACTGCCCTTGCTTGTTTGCCCTCAGTGATGTCACCACGCAGACAAACGTGATTGGCTACAAAACAGTGAGATGTCGTCCTTGCAAACCAGCGATGAACAAACCGGTCCATCTAGCTCAGTTGTCTACGCTGAGCAGCATCTCTCCAGGGTTTCAGGCAAGCAAGTGGGAGATGCCATTGAGTTAACCTGGGAACTTTGGCATTCAAAGCAGACACCCTACCTGCTAGGCTATGTTGCTTCCTCTAAGTGCACTTGCAGGAAGGGAGAGAAGTCCCACTAAACTCAACACCTACCGTACTTTTTGCTCTATAGGATGCACTTTTTCCTCTCCAAAAATTAAGGGGAAATGTGTGTGCATCCTATGGAGCGAATGCAAGCTCCTTGGCTTCAGCGATAGCAACGCAAAGCCTCCAAAGTGCAGATGGAGCGCTCCCTCCGCGCTCCGGAGGCTTCGCGTTGCTTTTGCTGAAGCCTGGAGCCTCTGGAGCACAGCGGGAGGTCCCGCTGCACTCCAGAGACTTCGGGTTCCTTTTGCTGAAGCTAGGAGAGCAAGATTCTCCTGGCTTCAGCAGAGATGGAGAGCTGTGCAGCGCCCCTTCAGCGAAGCAGGAGGAGAAATGGAAGGGGCTCCGTTTCTCCTGTCGCTTCACTGAAGGGGCGCTGAGCTGAGAGGGGGAGATTTTTTTTTCTTGTTCTCCCCCTCTAAAACAAGGTGCGTCCTATGGTCGGGTGCGTCCTATAGAGCGAAAAATACGGTATTTCTGAGCAAATTCAGCTAGTAAAGCATCTGTCAGGTGTAGGTCAGCAGCATGACAGTAGCATATTGGTCTATGTTTTGGCTTCGTACCACCATGCAGTGACTGATGCTTCTACCTGAAGGACCATCTTGCCCCGAGGGGAGGGGAGAAGGAAGACGTTTGAGGAACAGAGAACAACAAATGGCCAGATCCTTCCACCCCCATATGAAAGAAGGCATGCCCTTTTCAGGAATACTCCATTCCATCCCTTTCCCTGCTTTTCTGCCACTCCCTCCCCGTATTCAGTGGCCATGCAACTCCTCATTCAGCTGTGCTTAGTTGCCCCTCCCTTACGATTAAGGTGTATCTGTTTGCTGTAAGTCTGCAAACCTTGGGGTTCCCCCAGACCTGCTAATTAACATCCCTCTCGTGCACAGATGAGGTTTTGGTTACATACCCACTCGGGATGAGTTAGCTCCCTAGTAGTAAATTTGATAAAGCCCCTGTGCGGGTATCTGTCCACCGAGGGCAGTACTTCATGTATCTGGTGATGGGGTCCCCCCAAAGGTTCTGCCACAACTGCGGCACAAATCCTATGCATGTGTTGACTAAAACATGGTATGTTCTATGGCAGCCTTCAGGAACCCAGTTTTTTCTCTCCAGAAGCTGGAAACTCCACCAGAACCAGCCGGCATAGCCATTCCACAAAAGAGGTTACTTCTCTGCGCTCCCCTATCCTATCAAACAGTATATGGAATTTAGTAAAATGTGAATTTTATTGAATTATGCAGGGCTTTGGTGCTATATTTCTTCCTGATTCAGCACAAAAGGGTTCTGGAGAACTTGCCAGCTTGACATTTGGGATGATCATCAAGGCTTGTCTGCAAAGCCCTCACCAGGTCTACTCTGAGACACGCCCCACTGAATTCAACGGGGCTCACTCCCAAGTGGGGTTAGGCTTGCAGCCTTAGAAGTTTCAAGTTTCCTTATGGACCAACACATCTTCGCTTTTCATAGGCGATTGAACGTGCTTAGGCGGCCAGCCTCTCCACTTTCACCCGAGAGCAAGTCTCGCTGAAAGCAACCGCCATTGGATTTACTTCCCAGTAGACAGGCACAGAATTCCCCTGCGCTGGTTCACTCTCGGGAAACGGGGAGAAAAGAGGACCTTATCTCGGAACAACTTTAAACAAAGCTCATCCCTCCCCCTGCTCCCATAATCCACAGGAGCGTCGCTGCCCTTAAGTGCTTTCAGGACCACTGCCCTCCTTGTCCTCCAGAACTTGCGCGCGTCAAAAACCAATCGTTGCGCGTGCATTTACACGGGTGTGCAAATATATCCCAAACCCGAAACATCTGCCAAGATGCAGAAACACATACGAAGCTCCAAAAACACAGCGGGCAGCCCACAATCGGACTTCCCCCACCCCTTATACAAGGCTGTGGGTGCTTCCAAAACGCCCACCCTCCCCAAAAGAAAACTTGCATCCAAAAGGTTCGCTCGCGCAACGATGGCGCGCCTTCCTTTTCCATTCCATCTACCACAGGCAGAAAATATGGGAAGTTGGGGGCGAGGGGGGGGGTTCGAATTAAAAAGGAATGAATGAATGAATGAATGAATGACCGAGGAGCCCCACTTTCCTTCCGCGCGCGGGGAAGACACGCGCGCCCGCTTGGCCAGCCGCGCACTCCGCTCTCCAGATGCCGGCGCGCAATTGGCAAGGGGGTGTGGTGGGAAGCGGGCGGCGAGGGTGTGCGCGCGTGTTTCTGGGCGCGTTCAAAAGGTGAGAGGGGACCTCCCCCTGCCCGCGCAGCCCCTTCCAGCTTTTGCAAGTCGCGTCGCCCCCAAATAGCAAAAATGATAGCAATAAACAAATGCAAACGCTGACCCCCCGAAGTTGCAGAAGGGGAAGAGCCGTGGAAAGGCTCGCTCCTTTCTCCTCCTTCAGCGGCTCTTGCGCCTTCCTTCCCCCCATTCCACGTTTCCCCTCCGCGCACACCCCTTCCCCTTCTCTCTCTCCTTTTTTTTTCCTCCTCCCTTGCCCATTTTGGCTTATATTCAAATGTGGGTCAGGGGTGAGCGGCTCCCAACGTCACCAGCTTACAAGATGGCGCTGAGAGGAAGGCTGTGAGATAAGGAACGGGCTGCTATAAGCCGGGAGGACAGGCGAGGAGCGAGGCGGCGGCGGCGGAGAAGGTGGTGGAAGAGGTGGCTGCGACGGGGGACCCTCCCGGGAAAACCCCCTGGCCCCAAGCATGCCGGCGAAAAGGTAAGCGGCCGCCCGAGCGGGGGACTCCGGGGCTCCGCCGCGCTCCCGGCAGGGGGTGTGTATGCATGCCCGTGCGGATGCGCGCACACGTGTGCGGCGCTGGCCGGACCGCCGCCGTTGCCCGGGTTTGCCTGGCGCTGCGCTGCATGCAAAGCCCGCCCCCCAAGTCCGCGCGGGGAGCCCACACAAAGGAAGGGCGAGCGGACTCCGCGCAGCGCGCTGGAGAGGAGCCGCGATGGCATTTTGCAGCGGCTCCTCAATTGCACCCCCGGCGTGCAAGCCCAACAACAGAACCCCGGCGTGTGCAATACATACATACACACATATATATATATATAGAATATTAACGTGCCTCTTTTTTATGCATTATTCCCTCCCCCCTCCGTTTTAATTTTTGCAAAGTGCGCTATTGGAAACGTGAGCCCTCGCAACTCGCCGTGGCCGCTCGCTTTGCAAACTTTGCCTGGCTCCTCTCCTCTTCCTTCCCTCTTTGTGTGTGTGTGTGTGTGTGTGTGTGTGTGTGTGTGTGTGTGGGTGTTTTGCATTGCTCTGCCCTATGGCTGAGCCCATGCCTCCCGGGGGGAGGGGGGGAGGAGGAGGAGGAGGAGGGGGCGGGGTAGAAGAGAGAGGGAGGGAGGGAGGGAGGGAAGGGGGCATTAGCCAAGCTGCTGCAGCTGCCGCCGCTGCCTCCGCGTTGGACAAGCCCTGGGCGAAGGGGTGGGGGCCCCTGATGGACGGCTCTCCCCTCCCCCCCTCATTGATTCCCACTCTTGGAGGTGGGTGCAGCTAAGCAATTATTTTGAGAGAGGGGTGTGTGCGCGCGAGGGTGGGGGGCGCACATGGAAAAAGCGAGCGCCAGGGGGGCGTTGCATTTTGCATAGGCTTGCGTTTGTGGCAGGAGCGAGCCTTTCCTCCTGCAACCAGGGTGGGGGGAGGTTGGTTGGTTTGGAGGCGGGGGGCCGGCAGGCTCGGGGAAAGGCTTGCGGAGGGGGGCGCTGGAGAGACCCGGCGTGGCATGGCCGTGGCTCGGGCTGGACCCTTCCTCCACCCCTCCGGTCTCCTCGCCGAAGCGATCCGCGGAGCCCCCCTCGATGGCGACGGAAAGGTGACCCCATCCCCACGACCTCCCTTTCTTCCCCCTCGGGCCGAGCCCCTCTTTCAAGCTGCGTTTGAACTTTTGCCACATCGCTTGCGCCTCCCCCCCCTCCTTCCTTTCCCCTCCATCTCCATTGAGAGCGAAAGAGACACAGGCGCTGTGGGGCGTTGTTAAGATCTGGGGGCTTTTGTTGCTGCTGCTGCGAAATTCAAAGGGACTAGAAACCGGAGGCTTGCCTTCCCCGGGCGGACTCTCGGGGTTCCCGCAGCAGCGCCGCCGCCGCCGCTGCCAGCCTTGCAGCCTCGAATCCCTTTCTGGAATCTCTAGATTTTCCTTCTTCCTTTTTCTGAAATGTGCTGTTTTAAGAATACTCTCTCTGGAAGGCGCACACGTTTCAGCAATGCGTTACTTTCATGCTGCCCGGGAGTCAGGCTTGCCCTTTTCCCTCCCCGAACTGAATAGCCTCTCTTCTCCCCCCCCCCCCCGGGGAAAAAGAAACAATTAAGGAATAGTCTTAAGTAAGGACTTGAGTATATATGTATGATGTGTATTTCAAAAGGGAAACCCGAAGTTTGTGGATTTTCAACCAGAAAGCTTTCCCTGAGTTTGCTGTTGGTGGAGAAATGGCATTTCTCTCTCTGTGTGCGCGCAGTTTTAGTCACTTTTGATGCTATTGATGAATGAAATGTGTGTTCCTCTCTGCATGGAAAAAGGCTCTCCCTCTCTAACTGGATGGCTGATATTTGCAAATGAAAGTCGCCCATTTGGATCTTGCTGAGAATCTTGGTTTAGGGACCCTTTAAATGTGAACTTACGGAAGGGAAGAGGCTCAAAGACGTCCTGTTTTTAATTTCTCCCAGGTTGACATGGGTGCACCAGGGAGGGCAGAAGAGGGTGCCCGCGCCTTAGTTCCCCCCCCCCCAACACACTACAGTTTTTTTCCTTTATCAGAGATGCCAGCTGGGTCCTTCTCTTTTAGTCATTTTACGCATGATGACTGTTGTGCCATTGGCTGGGGAGGTGGTTTGAACTTTGCCCTTAAGATTTTTGGGAAAGAAAACCCCAACTATTAAAAATTCTTATAATACCCCCCCTCCCCGCTTGAAAGGAAATAAAATATGTTTATTTCCTGGGACGGTCGTGTCATTTAGGCCACTCTGTGAATAGTGTTTGGACATTGGAAGGAAGGGTGCATTTTTTGCATAGCGAATTCAGCCTTAAAAATTTGTACACTGAGAGATGTGTGGCAAAAGGTGATGTTGGTTTGAAGGCAGGTGGGGGGGTTGGGGAGTGGGGGGGAAGTTAAGGTGATGGGGAAAACCCTTTGGAAACACAGAACTCTTGATCGCGAAGCATTTCTTGTTTTTTCGTTGTTTTTTTTACGGAAGATAAAACACAATTTTATTAAGAGTGGGGAGATAGTTGCTTGAATAATGAGTGGTGGAAAGGAAAAGAAACGGCTTATTTCGAACAAAAGGTTTGGGTTGTTTTTTCCCCCAGAGCCAAACTTCATCTTTTCATCAGGCGTCATAATTGGCTCTTTAGGATTGTGCTGTTGCAATTCCACATGCGGTCAGTGACATGAGGGGAAATTGACTTATTCCCATAACTGTTGGTGGCTACTTTGATGCTTTCTACCCAGTCTTGAATTGCGACAGTGCTTAGGTTGAATTCCTTTTTTTAAAAAAGAAACTTCTGAGTTTGGAAACAGAATACATAGTGGTTATCATTTAAAAAAATAAATTATATTTTTTTAAGATACCTGAACCTAAATCAAGTTGATTTCACTGGGATCTACAGATGGTATTAAGTGGGTGCAGAAGTTAGTGTTTCTTTTTAAAAAAATCCCAGCAGTGCCACCACCTGCTTCCGTCATGTCATCTCACCAACTGGGGATCCAAAATAAATTTGAGAATAAACCCCTTTACATTTGTTCATATGTTCTCTCCAGGGCATAAATCTCTCGTTCCATTGGGATCCAAATTCATTCCGCACACAAGCACCAGAAAAGCATTCTCTTAAGTGGACTGGTGCAACGAAAGACATGTCATGCTGTTTTGGAAAAGTGACTTGCGTCAAAAAAGAGGGCGAGTTTTTAATCTTGACAGTCCTTAAGGGGGATGCAAGTATTTCTTCCTATGCGATAGCTCACCTTTTCAGATGTTCATGCACCTACTTCTTAAAAAAACAAACCCAGAAGCAGCAACTTCTCTGTGTTAAAAAAGATCTGGATCTTGCATGCCTTTTTCAAACTTCCCCAGACGTAAACATCCAAATAAATTTTTAGTTCTCTCTCTTTTTTAAAAGGAACTCCACGTAGAGAATAGCACCTAGGTAAAAGAAACAGCATCAAGTTCTTAATTTGTGTAAGCTGCTGCTGCTTTGCTGAATGACTCGGGCTGGGAAACTTGTTATCGATACCTGAAAAGTGTGTTATATAGATGCCTGAAGCTTTAAGCTGTCACGTGGTAAAGCTCCTGTCCTGTTTGTCAGCCCTGGATAGTTTAGCAGAAGCAACTGTGTGATAAGGAAGCCTCAGACCTGGGAGGTGGATGGGTGCTCTGTAATTGTTTGGCCAGGGTTTTAGATGGGTGGGGGGGGCGGAAAGCTGAAATGGATTTACGCCTAACTCTGGGAGCTGCAGTTCCAAAAATTTTCCTACAATGCTGCTGAAGTTTTTGGTTTTTTTTGAGGAAAACAAACAAAAGGCCAGCAAGGTGAGGCAATTTGAGGAAGCTGGTGGTAAACTCTCTAAAAAAACAGAAATGGCCTATTACCGGTTTTCTTAAGGGGGGGGCAGCTCACAAACAGCATTGTTCTGAACACTGGCATGGGAAAAAAATAAGACATTTGATCCTATGGATGGTCTTTATTTTCCTTTTCGCTGTTGCAAAATGAAATCCCAATTTTGCATCGGCAGATGGCTCCTTTGAAAGCCCTGGCATGTTAATGGGAGATCTCTTTAGTAGGGGTTTGCCATTTCAGAAGAGAGTTTTATTTTTTATTTTTGTATTGTAAGGCAAACCCACGTGCATTTCTTTTTCTACAGTCGGGTCTGACTTCGCCCCTTTAATTTGCAAGTTGTGTTAATCAGGAATCTTCTGCTTTCTTAAGGCTAGTGCTTCTGGTTTCCTCGCAGCTTAAGACCCCTCGCCTCCTTCGGGTGAGTTGGTTTCAACAACTCTGCAGCAGATGTTGTCTTGGAAAGTTTTTTTTTTAAAGGGGGGGGGAGAGAGGCGGAAACGCATTGCATTTGTGATTCACCCATTATGCAGGCTGTGACAGTCTAAGCTCAATGGGGTCTGAAGAAGTGGGGGGAGGGGGGGTCTTGCATTTCAGCATCGCTGGACATGCCGCCTCCGTTGGGCTCTGTGGCGAAAAAATTAACAGGGCTCAGCTGTTGAATTGCTTACGGAGAAATCCAAGCCCGGCTATAAAAGCGGGGAATTTTTAAATCGTAATCGTATGGAAAACCCTTTCCAGGGCTTGACTCGGCTAAAGGAGAGAAGTGGCAGTCGGTACCACTCAGGTTGTTCAAAGAGAGGTTTAAGGATTGCCTGTTGGCGCTTTGATAAAGCCCAGTGTGTTGTAATAGGAAAGCATGGATTGAGTCAACCCAGCCAGATTTTTTGCAGATAGTGGCATTTGGCCCAGTGCCTGCCTTCTTGGGGGCAGCTTAGCATGTGAGCGGTTTTAACGCACAGCACATGCGATTTTGCAATCTGGTGGAGCTTTTCTGCACAACATCCCCCCTGTTTTGCAAACGTGCCCACAGGCCCAAAAAGCTTCGGAAGAATACTGGATATTGTGTCTTCACAAGTTGGATGTAGGAGACTCTGCAGGCTGATCGGAAGCGGCTGCTGTTTATACCTGTGTGGCAGTTTCTGCGGCCAAATCCTGCCCT